GTCTGGGGCAGAGCAGATGGGGTGCTGCTGGGTTGGTCCAGTAGCACCCCAGCTGCTCTGCCCCAGGCGTCCCCAAGTCAGCTTCTGCTGAAACTGACCAGCGCTGACTACAGGAAGCCCCAGGCAGAGTTGCTCTGCCCCGGGCTTCCTGGAATCAGCTGCTGATCAGTTTCAGCAGCAGCTGACTTGGGGACGCCTGGGGTTCTTAAGTTGATTCTGTATGTAAGTCAGAACTGGCGGTCAGTTTCAGCAGTGTCTGAATCTGGACGCCAGTTCCGACTTACATACAGATTCAACTTAAGAACAAACCTACAGTCCCTATCTTGTATGTAACCCGGGGACTGCCTGTACACAGCTGGCCACTGCTGACCTTCCAACCCTTGTCCCCTCTTCCCCGGTCTTACTCACCTTCTCACCAGGTCGGCCAGCCTCTCCGAGCTCCCCTGCCCGGCCTGGCACACCAGGGATTCCAGGCTTGCCAGGTTCCCCTGCCTGGCCAGGCGGCCCCTCTGGACCTCGCTCTCCAATAGCTCGTCCCGTGGGGCCTTGGGGGCCCGCAGGGCCTTGGTCTCCTTTGTCGCCCTTGGGCCCTTTCTCTCCAGGAAAGCCCATCGCACCCTGCAGGGAACACACAATTCAGCTAGTCCTGGGGCTAGGGCTGGCAAGTGAGGCGATGCAATGGGGAGAAAGGTGCCGAAGCCCTGCAGGCACTGAAGGGCTGGCTGGGGAGGCTAACCACCAGCCCAGGGGTGGGCAATGATTTTTGATGGGGGCCACTCCAAGAATTTGGAAAATGGTCAAGGGCCACACTCTTCCATGCTATTAATGAAGGAGGAGCAGGGTCTGGAATGGAGGATGGATGCAGAAGGGAACTTGGGGTAAGGGAGGGAGTCTGGGTAAGGAGGCAGTTACCTGGGACACTGGACTGGGATGCAAGGAGTTGGATTGTGACTTAAGGCAGGGAATTGGGGTACAGGAAGGGGTGCAGGGATTTGGGTTGTGAGCTAGGGCAGGAGGGGACTGTGATCTGGGGCAGGGGAGTGGGATGCCAGATTTGGGAGGGCATTTGGGTACAGGATGGGGGCAGAGAATTTGGGTATGTGGAGTAGGGGGCAGAGGGTTGGGGAATGATAGAATACTAGGACTGGAAGGGACCTCGAGAGGTCATCGAGTCCAGTCCCCTGCCCTCATGGCAGAACCAAATACTGCCTAGACCATCCCTGATAGACATTTATCTATCTAAAATAAAGGGAAGGGAGGGACTGGGTGCCGGAGATAGGCAGCCCTCCTAAATCAGCCTCCCTACCTGCTCTGCCTCTGCACAGGCTGCAGCCATGTGCTCTGGAGCCTTGTAAGGATGTTAAGGACTAGTCAACTATCCGATACACAAATGCTTATTGGATAGTCAGCTGACTAGACAACTAGTCAATTCCCCCACTGACCCCGGGCTCCATGAAGGTGCTTCTGCTTTGAAAAGTCCCCTGCTTGGGGACTCTTGTACATTTCAAAGTAGACATGCCAAGTGCAGCCCGGAGTCACAACTAGTCAATTCCCCCACTGACCCCGGGCTCCATGAAGGTGCTTCTGCTTTGAAAAGTCCCCTGCTTGGGGACTCTTGTACATTTCAAAGTAGACATGCCAAGTGCAGCCCGGAGTCAGCAGCACTTCCTGCTGGCTCTAGGCTGCACGCGGAGTTCTGTAGCCCACCGGGGGCTCTTGTACATTTCAAAGGAGGAATACAGGGGCTCTTATACATTTCAAAGGAGGAATACAGAAATGCCTATTGATTAGTCGATGGAAATGCCATCGACTACTTGACTAGAAAATTAACCGATATTTAACACCCTTAGCCCCTTGTGCTTCTTAGCTACCTGTTATTGAAGCAGGCAGCTACCATTGGCCGGTTTCCAGCCAAAAACTGGCCAATGGGATTGTGCTGGGTGGGAGCAGTTCCTAAAGCTTCCTCCCTCCCCTCCGGACTCACAGTTTTTAACGAAAAAACGCCCTGCATCTGCATTTCTAAACAGCATGCGGGTGGGTTGAGGCAAACGGGGAGCCTGCCTGGGGCTCCCCGCAGCATCCGTGGGCCCGATCTGGTGGCTTGGCGGGCTGGATTCGGCCCGTGGGCTGTATTTTGCCCAGGCCTGCCCCACCCTCATCCCTTCCGCCCAAGGCCCCACCCCTTCCAGGAGCCCAGTGAAGTGTGTCCTGAGTCCTGAAGACAGGGAACTCCAGCGCCATGTGTGAGAGAGTCCTGGAAAGGGGCTGAGGGAGTGGGGCCCACTGAGGGGTTGCCCTGAGCCTGGGCTAACAAGGACAGTGCTTTATTTCCTTGGGTGCTGGCTGAAGGATCCCTTGCCCCCAAGAGGAAGCAGAGAGGCCCTAGGGGAACCTGCCCATGTTGGTGAATCCACCTCACCTCTTTGCCTGGAGATCCCCTCTCCCCTGGGTCCCCGCTATCGCCCTTGGGGCCTCTCCAGCGGTCAGGGTAGGGCAGGAATGGATCAGTGCTCCCGTCAAAGGCTCCAGTGATCTCCCTGAGAGAGGAAATCTAAGAGAGAGAGAGGACAGTCATCACAAAAGTGGGCAAAGGAGAGACGTCTCTGATCCTGCTTTGGGGGAGGGTTAATCTAGCCAGGCCCTGAGCCCCCTGACAGAGGGATGACTGGGATAGTCCACAGAAATATTTCTAAATCCCACTCTCTGGTGGCACTAGAAAGGGACCCCAACGAAGACGGAGAGACACGCTGGGAACCCATGACTTGCTGGGAGAGAACTGGCAATGCGGGAAGGTCAGTGGCAGGACAGAGAAACGTAGGTCTGACCTTCACACTCAGACCCGACACACATGGAAATGACCCCTTCGTAACATCCTGTAGCCATTGCCTACGACTGCCAAAAACCTTCCAGCAGCAGTGCTGCTGGGATTCCAGGGAGCTGCTGGCCAGAGCCTCTGGCCTTCCCCCCACTACCACATAGCCCAGTGGCAAGGGGACTCCATGTCTTCATCCCTCACCCCTCCCCAGGTGCATCAGCCAGGATCCTCGACCACACGCTCAATGGCTCTGGTTTCCCCCTCAGTAGTCTAACCACTGAGCCCTGGTCTCCTCCACCCAAGGGCCTATTAGCCAGGGCTCCGACATCCCCCTTATATCTCAGTCTCTCCTAGTTCCCCACCTACCCTGACCAGACTCCTGCTGGTTTCTCAATGGCCAGGGAGAGTGTCCCACCACAAATCCCGTTTCCCCTCCCCCTTTACAGATACCCCATGAGCAGAGCTGGCTGTTGCTTTGCTTTGTACCTTGATCCCATAGGATTCCAGGGCACGTTCAACATTCTAGAAGGGAAAGACAATGAGAACAATGGGGCATAAAATGGAACATACACCCTCACAGTCAAGATCACGGAAACATAACCTCCACCCTCTTCACCGCCAGCCTTGAGACCCCCCATGGCCTTAACCCTCGCCCCTCTCCTACCAGGGCTCAGCTGGCTGCACCAGCAGATGCCCTGGTTATTTTGGGGATGTGAATAGCTCTCCCAGTCTGAGACAGGTGGGACTGGCCCCACACAGTGACTTACCGAGACTGTCCCGGGCTCACCACGCAGTCCAGGATCCCCTGGTCTGCCCTGGTTACCATGGGAAGAAGCAGAACACCAGATTAGCACAGTCCTACTCACTGACAGTGTCCCAGGGAAGGACACAGCAGTAACTGGGGGGCTGACATGGGGAAAGTAGGGGGAGAGAGAATTCTGCATCATCTGGAATGACGGGGCAGAGATCTCACTCACCAGTCAGTGGGATGCTGTTGCTCACAGGTCACTACTGTGCCCTCCCTGGGACTGTACCTCACACACAGACCCTGGACAACTGCCTTTGTAACAGGGCCAGTCGCTTGCAATACCCTTCATACCCGGAAGCCAGCAAGACCTGCGGGCTGCAGCCAGTCTGCTAATTCTGCAGCAGTGTCACACAAGAAGGGAGCACTTTGCTGATCTACCCAAAGGACGGAATTAGCCAGAGGGAAGGCACAGTCGTGATGTCTCCCCCCGGGGCCCATGGGAGCCCCCTGCCCATTAGGTTAGCTATGTGGAGATCAAAGTCCATTTTACACTGCCCCCATTTTCACTGGGCTGCAGGCATTTGTCTTAACGCAGAAACACCTCAGCGACGCCCCGCAGGAGGGGGCATGGAATTGTGGCACAGCCAGCGCTTCAGGTGGATTTTTCTGCTGGAATGATCAGTGGGGGAAGCGTTGTTATTACAACAGGCCCCATGGCATTCCAGAGTGGCCGCAGGCGTGAGGGGAGTGCAGCAGAGCTCCGTCAGGCTGGCACTGCAGCATCGGCTACGCATTCAGCTTCCAGGGCAAGCCAGAGGCTCCCCTGGCAATGAGAACGAAGGGAGCAGGGCACCGCCCTGCTGCAGGGGTGGACGTGGCAGGCCCAGAATCACAGAGAACAAGGGACCTGTTCTTCCTGCTCCCAAGTAGCAGCGACTGGCAAGGGTCTGTTTACAGGCAGGGTTAGGCTGCCGAGCCCCGGGTGCTGTGTTCAGAGGGGATGCCATGGGGCACTGCACGGAGGGGGGCAGGGAGGAGGACTTAGCGCTGGCGGTTTGCCCAAGTCGTGCTGGGTACTCACCTGGTCTCCTTTGGATCCCGGCTCTCCTCGGTCACCCTGAACCAGAACAAGAGGAGTCAGGGTCCCCCCCAGTATTGCATGGGAGGGGAAAGCCCAGGCAGAGAGCTCATTCCTGCCTTACTTGGAGGAGCCCCCGCCTTCTCCAGGCTGAAGTGAGACAGCTAGGGGAGGGCCCCAGGGAGGAACAGTGCCATGGTGCTGGGGGAAGGGCAGACATATGACCCAGTGCTCCACCCCCAGCTAGCCCAGAACCCAGGCTCTCCAGCCTCAGAGAGCTTCTACCGGGAACCAAGCCTGGGCCAGACATAGATCAGAGCTGGGGACCCCCAATGGCCTACTGCAGAGCCTATGGCATCTCAGAGACCCCCTGCCTTTCACAGGTGGGCCCCACTGAGGACACACTTTAGTCGCTCCTGGTAAAGGCGGATATAGGGCAGGGCGAGCGGGGCGGCCACCCTGGGCCCCACGCTTCAAGGAGCCCCGCGCATGTGTTGTGTCAAAGGGGGGGGGGCGTGAAATTGTGCTGCCCTGGGCCCCGCAAAATTGTCATCTGCCCCTGCCTCCTGGCACCCAGCTCCTCCAAAGAGGAGGCTCAGAAGAAGACATAAGCCATGCCCACCAGCTGGGCACAGCAGGGTGCAGAGCTCAGTGAATTCACAGGATTAACCCTTGAAGGCCCAGAGGTCTATGCCTGGGGCAACAAGCCAGCCCCTCTCCAAGTGGGGTCTGCCGGGACATGCTGCTCTCTGATCATTCAGCCAATGCACAACTTGCCACGGAGTTCCAGTGGCCTGGTCGGGGCTGGGGAAAACACTCACCTTTTGTCCAGCAGCCCCGGTGAGGCCTGGAGCACCCTGGAAGGTACAGAAGAAATGTGAGCAGACCCTGGACCCTGCGAGCCAGGGGAGAGAGCAGCTTCACTGCCAATAGGTGGGGTACAGGTACTCCCAGGCCTGGGGAGAGGAAGGAGAAGAGGCCACACACAGCTTGGGGCATCTGTGAGCACTGACCCTGGGAGGAAGAGTCCAGTTAAGCTGGGATATTTCTTCTGCCCCAGGGCCTGTCTCCAAGACACGGAGGGGCTGTATGGTCAGCAGTTCAGTCCCAAGTCCTGCAAGGAGCTAGGATCTGGAGAGGAACAGGATTTCCCCAGGGAATCAGAACGGGATCCAGGGTGTCCATGCCCTGGCACAGTGAGCCATTGCTCGGCTGTCCAGATCCTCTTGGCTCTGGGCTTGGCCAGGTCTGTATTCCTAACACAGCCATGGGCATGCCAACTAGTGGCCAGGGCAGGGTCTGGGAGACAGGAGTCCTAGGTTCTGAGCTTACCATGGTCTTGGGCCAGTTTCCTCTTCTTTCCGTCTCTCCACCCCCCCGTCTGTACCCAGCATTGGTGCTCTCCCTGCCCCAGCTCCCAGGCAGGCTATGAGGAGTCAGTCCTGAATAATGGTGGGCACGGTGAGCCGTGCCATACAGCTAGTGTTAGAAGTATTACTCTGGAGGTTACGCACCTGACCTGGGATTCCAACCTGCCCAGGGACACCAGGAGGTCCCAAGGGGCCTGGCGCACCACGATCCCCTCGCTCGCCCTTGGGGCCCTCTTGACCCTGTGAAAGAACAGACTCACCACCATTGGGTACTACTTGGTATCACCCCCAAATTCCCCACCCTCAACCCCTCCCAGCTGGCCGGGCCTACAGACAGGTCTGACAGCCAGACGCCTGCTGAAAGGCCTGCCACTGCCAAAGGGTGCCAGTGCCCTGGGGTGCCAGCAGAAGGCATGTGTCTCCCCCTGGCACTAGGTGGTACCACCTAAGAGCAGGTCAGCATCTTTTAGTGATGCTTATTGAAGCCCAAGAAACCACTAGGGCCTGTAAGCAATGGAGTCACGAAGGCCAAGACCACCAGCATCACATTAGCCAGAGTTGGGGCCCCCTCTACCCTTTTCAGCTGAGCCTGGCTTCTAAACTCAGGCCTCTGTGAGCCGGGAAGCACAGACCAGAGGGCACTGCCTGCACTCCCCTCCTCTGCCAGAGGGTAACAGGCCCTGGTGCACTGGAGAGAGAAGATGCACCGGATCACTACAGACCTCCCCTGCTTGCTTCTGGGCAGCAAGCTGGGAGACCCAACAGTTGCCTCCAGGTTTGCTAGATGGGGCCTCTGCCACTGAAGCCACCCAGAGGGTGCAAGCTCCACCATGACGGACAACTGGAGAGAGGGGGCCTTAGTGCCTGCGTAGGCAGCACATGGGAGAGTGACCCGTGGAGCCACCAAACAGACAGACCCTGTGCCAACCCCAAGGCTGGGAGGGAATTAGTGACCGAGGTAAATCCAGGGCGGGTGGGGGAAAGGGGTGAATCACAGGTACTTACGTCTCTGCCAGGGGCTCCAGCTTCTCCTTTGTCCCCCTAATGAGGAAAAGCCAAGAGAAAATGGCGACCTTACAGCTCATTCCACTTCCAAATGACACAGCCTGGGGACTCGGGCAGGGCACAGCAAATGTGGCCCCCTGCCCTGCCCCCAATGGGGTAGGAACCTTCACCCAAGAGCCTGGCTCTGTCTTCTCAATGGCACCTTTCCTAGAGCCAGCAAGAGCTGGGGCTGCAGTAACACCAGGCCCAACCTCACCACCCCATCCTGCTGGGTGAGCAGAGCTGGAGCAGCCAGGAGCTGCACACTGGCACCAGGAGGCAGCTCCCGCTCCCACAGGAAGCGCATGGTGAGAGGTGCCAGGCAGACACAATGGAGCGGTATCTGTAAGCAGCACAGGAGTCTGTCCCCAGGGGTTCCCTGTCTGATAGGCTGCTCACAGACCTGGCTAGCAAAGGGAGCTGTCTAGCCTGGGGTGAGGGGCCCTTTATTTCGTTACCTTCCTCCCATCTTCTCCTGGGATCCCATCTTCTCCCTAGGAGGATAGAAACCAATAGTCAAAGCCCGGTTCCACACAGGCCCCACACACTAGGGGCTGGACACTGAGCAGGTGGTGGGAGAAATCCTAGGTCAGACCAGCACCTCCATGCTGGGAAGCACAATTCATCCCCTGGGTCACCCAGCTCTCCTGACATCTACCACACAGCCCTTAGATGAGGCAGGGAGCCAGGCTCCTGCAGGGTTAGTGAGGCTTTGGGACAGCAGGCAGGCCCTGGTGGTTACCATGGTACACTGGGGTTCCTCACGTGGGGAGCCGCACTTGGGAAGTCCTTTGCTAAGCCCCTGTGACAGCCCATCGGTGGAAGGCCCTGGCACACTGAGGGCTTGCCCATGGAAGGGGGACAGCAGAGTCTGCCCATGCTCGGGGGCCTTCTGCCTGCATTCAGTACAGTGTCAGGGACCCTACATTGTCACTGGCAGTCACATTGCCAGGGCAGCTCCCTCTCGCCCAGGCAGCTCCGTGCAAGTCAGGCCTAGAGACCCTGCCCGCCAGAGCCCGGAGCTGCCTTTCTCCAGCAGGGACTGGCTCCCTTACTCACATTCTTCCCATTCGGGCCGGGTTTGCCATCATCTCCAGGTTTTCCCTGGAAGGAAGCAAAGGCTATTAGCAGCGTGAAGGGCCCTCCAAGCACCTAAGACAGCAGCAAGTCTCTCCTAGGCTCACTACGACCGCCAGGGTGGCTGGAGCCTGATGCTGTAGTACCACCCGGCAGCAGCTCCTAGAGGAGGCAGGGTCAGGACACCTGCCCCGTCAGGAAGCCGTGCCCAGAGAGTGATTAGCTGAGGCACGACAGTCAACAGCAGCAGGCAGATGCCTGCAGGGTAAGACTGAAGGGTAACAGGAAGGGTCAAGACACCAAACAAGGAGCCAAATGGAGCTGCTGACATCTGAGGGCTGCCCTAAACCTGCCTGGGACATCAGGAAATTTTGGGAGAGTAGCCGCAGGCCTGAGTATGTCTCACATCAGACTTGGGTCAGGCTGTTCTGGGCAAAAGGATGAGCCAAAGGGGCAGCATGAGTCCTCGGAAGAGGCCTCCCAGAGCACATGGAATGTGGCGAGGGGCAGGGTCATATCCCACAGAGCAGGCACATATGGGTGAGTGGGGACTGTGGATGGGAGGCAGCCAGAAAACAGGAGTGACCTCATAAGGAAGCGCCTGGTAAGGGGGCAAGGCAGGGTGTGGGGTATCTGGGGCCCTGCCAGAGCAGGGGGAGGTGCCAGAGGAGGTGCTAGAGAACAGTCATCAGGGATGGCCAACAACAATCAACCAAACTACTTACAGTCAAGCCTGGTGGTCCGGGGGGGCCGACAGCTCCTGGGGGGCCTTGCTCCCCTCGTAAGCCTGGCAGTCCCTGCAACAATAGAAGATCAGGTGAGAGGCACATCCCAGCTGGGTCACACCATGCTCCACCAAGGAAGGGAGAGGAGGACCGGTGACTTCAGGGGTAGGCAGTGCCCTTGGGCCAGGGACTCTCCAGGCTCAGCTGGCTCCCAGGGCAGCTCCACCATGCTCAGGATTTGACCACACAGCTCAGGCCTGGGGTTCTGAGGGTAAAGCCTCAGTGGAGGGTCAGGGGAAGCCTATGGGGATGGACAGACCCTGTGATAGGAAGGTGGGGCACAGAGCTAGCTGAACCAGTGCTTTGCTGCGGTGATTCCTGAGCCCATTGCTGCAGCCTTATTCAGATACTGCCCCAGAGAAAGGGGGGAGCAGATAAGCTCCCTGCCTCGTGCCACCAACACCCCTCCAGATCAGGGGCTCTGTACTTACATCTCGTCCAGGGTCACCCTGCTTGCCTTGGTCACCCTAGAAAAACAATAGGACAGGCCATTATCAGTGGGGCTGAGCTCAGGCCTGATGCTGGGGCCTGGCCTCCCCGGTTAAGGTGCTGCCCTGGGGGTTCCAGAGAGGCCTGGCTCGCCTCACAGCATGAAAGCAGGAGAGGTCACCACCACGCAGGCACTTCGGCTACGAGGGTCTCTAGGCTCCCTGGAAGGGAGCAGTACCCAGCCAGGGAAAGTCAGCAGCACTCCTTGGCTAGCCTGGGAGCGGGCACTGAGGGGCACAGACAGGAAGGAGCACAGAGCACTGCACGGCTCAGGGACACAGAGCCTCCCCCATAGCCCTCCGAAGGGCAGCCTCATGCAAGGGGGATGGGATTCCCCCAGCCAGGCCACACTTACTCTTTGCCCTGTGGGGCCCATTTGCCCAGGTTTGCCGTCCAACCCGTTCCGGCCATCCAGCCCCGGAGGGCCTCGGTCCCCCTGAAAGAGAGCCAGGCAGTGAAGGCTTCGCACCGTGGCTCCCCCATTCCAACCTCCTCCGAGAGCCCACCAGCGGGGCAGGCAGCAGCGTGAGCGGGGGAATGGAGGGTGCACACTGGAAGCGGTGGCAATAAGGACCGTGTCAGTGATGGGTCAGGGCATCTCAGGTGGCAGGACCCCAGGCAGATCCCTCCTCAGTCCAGCTCCTCCCCTTTTGGTATTTTCCATACCACGTAAAGGGACGCGTGCTAGTGGGTGGGAACATGCATGGCCATGCCTGTGACTGACACGGTACCAGGGCTACAGTCAATTCCCCATCTGCCTGGGACTCCTCCCTGAGCAAACATGGCAACACTTGGCTGCTGCCCAGGAATGGGACAAACCCCCTTCACCCCCACCTGCCTTGGCTCCCAGGCCACTTCACCAGCCAGCCCTCCATGCAACGTGGCTGCTGGAAGGGCAGTGCTGTCCCCCAGCCCCCACCTGGGCTCTGCGCCCTCCCTGCAGCCTCTGAGCCAATCCAGTCCCCGAATCCTTGTGCTCTGCTTTCCAGACCACTCTTCTCCCCAGCCTGGGGCTCTCACTCTCCTGCAACAGCGATGCAGGCCAGTCCCTGGGCACTTGGACTGTAGGCCCCACTCTGCCCCATGCAGATGGACATGTTGCACTCTGGACCCCTCTCTTGGGACTGTGGGCACAGGGAATGTATCCCTCCTCCCCCACGAACAAGGCAAAGAGGCCTTGCCCACTGTTGAGAGCTCCACTTACAGAAATGGTACGACCCAAGGACTTCCCCCCCCCAAGTCACCCCAATACACCCTCCTGCCCACCCCATGCTGGGCACAGGAAGACCTGGCATCTCACATGGAACCAAGGCTTTTACCTTCTCTCCCGATGGGCCTCGGTCCCCAGGGTCACCCTGCAGGGTATGAAACAGAAAAGAACGTGGCTGGTCACAGAGCAAGGGGCAGAGCCGGCCAAAGCTCCTTGGCACTTGTGGGGGAAGGAGGAGGGGGGAGAAAGTGCTGAATCCCTCTGGAACAACAGAAAGGAAAAGAAATGGGAACTCACCCGAGCTCCAGGGGGGCCTCTGGGGCCTTCGGCAGCCCTGTATTTCTCTGTTTGTCTCCTTCTATGGGTGGTGAGGGCCATCAACACCATGCTGCTGTGCAGGGTCATCATCCTGGGCAAAGTTGACCCCATTGTCGCTGGCTTAGGGAAGGCACATGAAGCCCACATCTTCCACAGCTCCAGCATCTAGAGCCCCGGGTGCTGTGTTCAGAGGGGATGCCATGGGGCACTGCACGGAGGGGGGCAGGGAGGAGGACTTAGCGCTGGCGGTTTGCCCAAGTCGTGCTGGGTACTCACCTGGTCTCCTTTGGATCCCGGCTCTCCTCGGTCACCCTGAACCAGAACAAGAGGAGTCAGGGTCCCCCCCAGTATTGCATGGGAGGGGAAAGCCCAGGCAGAGAGCTCATCCCTGCCTTACTTGGAGGAGCCCCCGCCTTCTCCAGGCTGAAGTGAGACAGCTAGGGGAGGGCCCCAGGGAGGAACAGTGCCATGGTGCTGGGGGAAGGGCAGACATATGACCCAGTGCTCCACCCCCAGCTAGCCCAGAACCCAGGCTCTCCAGCCTCAGAGAGCTTCTACCGGGAACCAAGCCTGGGCCAGACATAGATCAGAGCTGGGGACCCCCAATGGCCTACTGCAGAGCCTATGGCATCTCAGAGACCCCCTGCCTTTCACAGGTGGGCCCCACTGAGGACACACTTTAGTCGCTCCTGGTAAAGGCGGATATAGGGCAGGGCGAGCGGGGCGGCCACCCTGGGCCCCACGCTTCAAGGAGCCCCGCGCATGTGTTGTGTCAAAGGGGGGGGGGGGCGTGAAATTGTGCTGCCCTGGGCCCCGCAAAATTGTCATCTGCCCCTGCCTCCTGGCACCCAGCTCCTCCAAAGAGGAGGCTCAGAAGAAGACATAAGCCATGCCCACCAGCTGGGCACAGCAGGGTGCAGAGCTCAGTGAATTCACAGGATTAACCCTTGAAGGCCCAGAGGTCTATGCCTGGGGCAACAAGCCAGCCCCTCTCCAAGTGGGGTCTGCCGGGACATGCTGCTCTCTGATCATTCAGCCAATGCACAACTTGCCACGGAGTTCCAGTGGCCTGGTCGGGGCTGGGGAAAACACTCACCTTTTGTCCAGCAGCCCCGGTGAGGCCTGGAGCACCCTGGAAGGTACAGAAGAAATGTGAGCAGACCCTGGACCCTGCGAGCCAGGGGAGAGAGCAGCTTCACTGCCAATAGGTGGGGTACAGGTACTCCCAGGCCTGGGGAGAGGAAGGAGAAGAGGCCACACACAGCTTGGGGCATCTGTGAGCACTGACCCTGGGAGGAAGAGTCCAGTTAAGCTGGGATATTTCTTCTGCCCCAGGGCCTGTCTCCAAGACACGGAGGGGCTGTATGGTCAGCAGTTCAGTCCCAAGTCCTGCAAGGAGCTAGGATCTGGAGAGGAACAGGATTTCCCCAGGGAATCAGAACGGGATCCAGGGTGTCCATGCCCTGGCACAGTGAGCCATTGCTCGGCTGTCCAGATCCTCTTGGCTCTGGGCTTGGCCAGGTCTGTATTCCTAACACAGCCATGGGCATGCCAACTAGTGGCCAGGGCAGGGTCTGGGAGACAGGAGTCCTAGGTTCTGAGCTTACCATGGTCTTGGGCCAGTTTCCTCTTCTTTCCGTCTCTCCACCCCCCCGTCTGTACCCAGCATTGGTGCTCTCCCTGCCCCAGCTCCCAGGCAGGCTATGAGGAGTCAGTCCTGAATAATGGTGGGCACGGTGAGCCGTGCCATACAGCTAGTGTTAGAAGTATTACTCTGGAGGTTACGCACCTGACCTGGGATTCCAACCTGCCCAGGGACACCAGGAGGTCCCAAGGGGCCTGGCGCACCACGATCCCCTCGCTCGCCCTTGGGGCCCTCTTGACCCTGTGAAAGAACAGACTCACCACCATTGGGTACTACTTGGTATCACCTCCAAATTCCCCACCCTCAACCCCTCCCAGCTGGCCGGGCCTACAGACAGGTCTGACAGCCAGACGCCTGCTGAAAGGCCTGCCACTGCCAAAGGGTGCCAGTGCCCTGGGGTGCCAGCAGAAGGCATGTGTCTCCCCCTGGCACTAGGTGGTACCACCTAAGAGCAGGTCAGCATCTTTTAGTGATGCTTATTGAAGCCCAAGAAACCACTAGGGCCTGTAAGCAATGGAGTCACGAAGGCCAAGACCACCAGCATCACATTAGCCAGAGTTGGGGCCCCCTCTACCCTTTTCAGCTGAGCCTGGCTTCTAAACTCAGGCCTCTGTGAGCCGGGAAGCACAGACCAGAGGGCACTGCCTGCACTCCCCTCCTCTGCCAGAGGGTAACAGGCCCTGGTGCACTGGAGAGAGAAGATGCACCGGATCACTACAGACCTCCCCTGCTTGCTTCTGGGCAGCAAGCTGGGAGACCCAACAGTTGCCTCCAGATTTGCTAGATGGGGCCTCTGCCACTGAAGCCACCCAGAGGGTGCAAGCTCCACCATGACGGACAACTGGAGAGAGGGGGCCTTAGTGCCTGCGTAGGCAGCACATGGGAGAGTGACCCGTGGAGCCACCAAACAGACAGACCCTGTGCCAACCCCAAGGCTGGGAGGGAATTAGTGACCGAGGTAAATCCAGGGCGGGTGGGGGAAAGGGGTGAATCACAGGTACTTACGTCTCTGCCAGGGGCTCCAGCTTCTCCTTTGTCCCCCTAATGAGGAAAAGCCAAGAGAAAATGGCGACCTTACAGCTCATTCCACTTCCAAATGACACAGCCTGGGGACTCGGGCAGGGCACAGCAAATGTGGCCCCCTGCCCTGCCCCCAATGGGGTAGGAACCTTCACCCAAGAGCCTGGCTCTGTCTTCTCAATGGCACCTTTCCTAGAGCCAGCAAGAGCTGGGGCTGCAGTAACACCAGGCCCAACCTCACCACCCCATCCTGCTGGGTGAGCAGAGCTGGAGCAGCCAGGAGCTGCACACTGGCACCAGGAGGCAGCTCCCGCTCCCACAGGAAGCGCATGGTGAGAGGTGCCAGGCAGACACAATGGAGCGGTATCTGTAAGCAGCACAGGAGTCTGTCCCCAGGGGTTCCCTGTCTGATAGGCTGCTCACAGACCTGGCTAGCAAAGGGAGCTGTCTAGCCTGGGGTGAGGGGCCCTTTATTTCGTTACCTTCCTCCCATCTTCTCCTGGGATCCCATCTTCTCCCTAGGAGGATAGAAACCAATAGTCAAAGCCCGGTTCCACACAGGCCCCACACACTAGGGGCTGGACACTGAGCAGGTGGTGGGAGAAATCCTAGGTCAGATCGGCACCTCCATGCCAGGAAGCACAATTCATCCCCTGGGTCACCCAGCTCTCCTGACATCTACCACACAGCCCTTAGATGAGGCAGGGAGCCAGGCTCCTGCAGGGTTAGTGAGGCTTTGGGACAGCAGGCAGGCCCTGGTGGTTACCATGGTACACTGGGGTTCCTCACGTGGGGAGCCGCACTTGGGAAGTCCTTTGCTAAGCCCCTGTGACAGCCCATCGGTGGAAGGCCCTGGCACACTGAGGGCTTGCCCATGGAAGGGGGACAGCAGAGTCTGCCCATGCTCGGGGGCCTTCTGCCTGCATTCAGTACAGTGTCAGGGACCCTACATTGTCACTGGCAGTCACATTGCCAGGGCAGCTCCCTCTCGCCCAGGCAGCTCCGTGCAAGTCAGGCCTAGAGACCCTGCCCGCCAGAGCCCGGAGCTGCCTTTCTCCAGCAGGGACTGGCTCCCTTACTCACATTCTTCCCATTCGGGCCGGGTTTGCCATCATCTCCAGGTTTTCCCTGGAAGGAAGCAAAGGCTATTAGCAGAGTAAGGGGCCCTCCAAGCACCTAAGACAGCAGCAAGTCTCTCCTAGGCTCACTCTGAGTGCCAGGGTGGCTGGAGCCTGATGCTATAGCACCACCCGGCAGCAGCTCCTAGAGGAGGACGACCGCCAGGGTGGCTGGAGCCTGATGCTGTAGTACCACCCGGCAGCAGCTCCTAGAGGAGGCAGGGTCAGGACACCTGCCCCGTCAGGAAGCCGTGCCCAGAGAGTGATTAGCTGAGGCACGACAGTCAACAGCAGCAGGCAGATGCCTGCAGGGTAAGACTGAAGGGTAACAGGAAGGGTCAAGACACCAAACAAGGAGCCAAATGGAGCTGCTGACATCTGAGGGCTGCCCTAAACCTGCCTGGGACATCAGGAAATTTTGGGAGAGTAGCCGCAGGCCTGAGTATGTCTCACATCAGACTTGGGTCAGGCTGTTCTGGGCAAAAGGATGAGCCAAAGGGGCAGCATGAGTCCTCGGAAGAGGCCTCCCAGAGCACATGGAATGTGGCGAGGGGCAGGGTCATATCCCACAGAGCAGGCACATATGGGTGAGTGGGGACTGTGGATGGGAGGCAGCCAGAAAACAGGAGTGACCTCATAAGGAAGCGCCTGGTAAGGGGGCAAGGCAGGGTGTGGGGTATCTGGGGCCCTGCCAGAGCAGGGGGAGGTGCCAGAGGAGGTGCTAGAGAACAGTCATCAGGGATGGCCAACAACAATCAACCAAACTACTTACAGTCAAGCCTGGTGGTCCGGGGGGGCCGACAGCTCCTGGGGGGCCTTGCTCCCCTCGTAAGCCTGGCAGTCCCTGCAACAATAGAAGATCAGGTGAGAGGCACATCCCAGCTGGGTCACACCATGCTCCACCAAGGAAGGGAGAGGAGGACCGGTGACTTCAGGGGTAGGCAGTGCCCTTGGGCCAGGGACTCTCCAGGCTCAGCTGGCTCCCAGGGCAGCTCCACCATGCTCAGGATTTGACCACACAGCTCAGGCCTGGGGTTCTGAGGGTAAAGCCTCAGTGGAGGGTCAGGGGAAGCCTATGGGGATGGACAGACCCTGTGATAGGAAGGTGGGGCACAGAGCTAGCTGAACCAGTGCTTTGCTGCGGTGATTCCTGAGCCCATTGCTGCAGCCTTATTCAGATACTGCCCCAGAGAAAGGGGGGAGCAGATAAGCTCCCTGCCTCGTGCCACCAACACCCCTCCAGATCAGGGGCTCTGTACTTACATCTCGTCCAGGGTCACCCTGCTTGCCTTGGTCACCCTAGAAAAACAATAGGACAGGCCATTATCAGTGGGGCTGAGCTCAGGCCTGATGCTGGGGCCTGGCCTCCCCGGTTAAGGTGCTGCCCTGGGGGTTCCAGAGAGGCCTGGCTCGCCTCACAGCATGAAAGCAGGAGAGGTCACCACCACGCAGGCACTTCGGCTACGAGGGTCTCTAGGCTCCCTGGAAGGGAGCAGTACCCAGCCAGGGAAAGTCAGCAGCACTCCTTGGCTAGCCTGGGAGCGGGCACTGAGGGGCACAGACAGGAAGGAGCACAGAGCACTGCACGGCTCAGGGACACAGAGCCTCCCCCATAGCCCTCCGAAGGGCAGCCTCATGCAAGGGGGATGGGATTCCCCCAGCCAGGCCACACTTACTCTTTGCCCTGTGGGGCCCATTTGCCCAGGTTTGCCGTCCAACCCGTTCCGGCCATCCAGCCCCGGAGGGCCTCGGTCCCCCTGAAAGAGAGCCAGGCAGTGAAGGCTTCGCACCGTGGCTCCCCCATTCCAACCTCCTCCGAGAGCCCACCAGCGGGGCAGGCAGCAGCGTGAGCGGGGGAATGGAGGGTGCACACTGGAAGCGGTGGCAATAAGGACCGTGTCAGTGATGGGTCAGGGCATCTCAGGTGGCAGGACCCCAGGCAGATCCCTCCTCAGTCCAGCTCCTCCCCTTTTGGTATTTTCCATACCACGTAAAGGGACGCGTGCTAGTGGGTGGGAACATGCATGGCCATGCCTGTGACTGACACGGTACCAGGGCTACAGTCAATTCCCCATCTGCCTGGGACTCCTCCCTGAGCAAACATGGCAACACTTGGCTGCTGCCCAGGAATGGGACAAACCCCCTTCACCCCCACCTGCCTTGGCTCCCAGGCCACTTCACCAGCCAGCCCTCCATGCAACGTGGCTGCTGGAAGGGCAGTGCTGTCCCCCAGCCCCCACCTGGGCTCTGCGCCCTCCCTGCAGCCTCTGAGCCAATCCAGTCCCCGAATCCTTGTGCTCTGCTTTCCAGACCACTCTTCTCCCCAGCCTGGGGCTCTCACTCTCCTGCAACAGCGATGCAGGCCAGTCCCTGGGCACTTGGACTGTAGGCCCCACTCTGCCCCATGCAGATGGACATGTTGCACTCTGGACCCCTCTCTTGGGACTGTGGGCACAGGGAATGTATCCCTCCTCCCCCACGAACAAGGCAAAGAGGCCTTGCCCACTGTTGAGAGCTCCACTTACAGAAATGGTACGATCCAAGGACTTCCCCCCCCCAAGTCACCCCAATACACCCTCCTGCCCACCCCATGCTGGGCACAGGAAGACCTGGCATCTCACATGGAACCAAGGCTTTTACCTTCTCTCCCGATGGGCCTCGGTCCCCAGGGTCACCCTGCAGGGTATGAAACAGAAAAGAACGTGGCTGGTCACAGAGCAAGGGGCAGAGCCGGCCAAAGCTCCTTGGCACTTGTGGGGGAAGGAGGAGGGGGGAGAAAGTGCTGAATCCCTCTGGAACAACAGAAAGGAAAAGAAATGGGAACGGAGGAGGGGGGAGAAAGTGCTGCATCCCTCTGGAACAACAGAAAGGAAAAGAAATGGGAACTCACCCGAGCTCCAGGGGGGCCTCTGGGGCCTTCGATCCCCTGCAAAAGAAAGGAGACAGTTCTGCTATGGGAGTGTCAGGAGGAGATGGCTGGGGCCCACTTTCCGCCATCACTCATCACCCTGCCCTGCCTCACGGAGACACCCAAGACACAAACCAGTTCCCTGTGTGAGCTCTCCCCACACTGGCACCCCCCCCAGCCATGGGACACCCTGCTTCTGTGCCCCATGCTCCAAACACAGCCCGATGGGCCTCTCCCCACACTAGACACCTCTCCCAATGCAGCCTCCCTGAGTCCCCACACTCACTGCTCCCCTGGCAGGCACATCCCTTCCCCCACTCCCAAGGTGGGAATCCTTTGCCTGTGGGACGGCCGCCCTTGTGTGCTCCCAGGAACCACACCCAGCCTCCAGTGCCTTCCGACACGCCCTCCCTTAGAGCTTGGCTTGTAGGGGCTTTCGCGTCTAAGCCACACCTCCCACGTCAGACACGCCCATGCCCTGGCACCTACCCTCTCTCCAGGTAACCCAGCCTCGCCCTTTGCGCCCTTCATCCCGTCCTCTCCGGGATCCCCCGGATCCCCCTGAAATGGAAACAGCCAGTCAGAGCAGATTCCAGAGTTTGCTGGCCAGTGGACCTGCAGTGGCTGCTCCCACACTCTCCTGTATTCTCCTCCAGGTGCATGCCAGGAGCCAAGCCCAGGTGCACGTGCCCCTTCCAGGCGGCGGAGGGGAGGGGGGAGCAGTTCTGTCCCAGGACAATCTCTCTGCAGAGCAGGCATGGTCCATACTGCAGAGTCCTAAGTGGTACCAGAGCAGGCAGAGCGCTAGGCAACAGCCCAGCCTGAGGCCCTCAGCGGGGCTGCCCCACTCCTGCAGAGAGGGGCTGCTCCACAGCTCCCACCCCATGGCAGCCCCCATGAGGCAAGGAGGAGCCCCAAGGGCAGTATTACCTTCTCGCCTTTCTCTCCTATTCCTCCTCCAGCTCCCGAATCAACCTGTGGGGCAGAGAGAGGGGTCAGATGCTCCAGGGCCCAGGGCACAAACCCAGCACAAGCAAGGTGGGGCAAAGAAACGCTGAGCTTACAATTCGTCCTGGGGGTCCAGCCGGCCCCTGAGGAGAAGGAGAGAGAGCCCAGCATTAATGGAGGCCTGCAGAAGCTCTGCACAGATGCAGCCTGAGACACAGCAGCATCTCTGGAGGGGCGAGGGAGGGAGGAAGCCACCTAAGCAAGCATGGTTGGGCTCCAAACCTCCTTAGACATACTGCAGACAGACTGCATGCTGTGCTCCACCCGGCACAGAACCCGGGCGTTCCCGTAGCCAGCTGCTCCCTTGCCCTGACCTGGTGCATCTCTAGGTTCTGCTGACACTGCCAGCTAGAGACTGGGCGAGACATCAGGTTTAGCAAGGCCCAGAAGGGAAAGATCATCAAACCCAGTCACCAGGGCCTGAGCTTAGATACTTGGGCAGGGTGAGGGTGAGCAGGACACGCCCAGGCACCGGTAGCACCACAAAGGCCGGGGCAGATCAGCACAAGTACAGGTAAACCTGTGTCTAGATGATGAGTGTGCAACAGGAGCCGGGGAGTGTGCAGAGTGTACAACAGACACCCTGACCTTCCCCTACATGCCTGGATTTCTATTGCACATGGGTCCTGGTGGTGCCCCATGCCCTGATGAAGCCCTGGGCATGACATTGGGGAGCCCAGCCTCACCATACTACAGTGCCCCCAGGAGAAGGGTCTGGCTGGGGGTGTAAAGCGGAGCCAAAGCGGGTACATTTACTCACCGGTTCCCCACGGTCACCCTTAGCCCCTGGCACTCCAGGGCTGCCCTGCCAAGAGAGAAGGGACACAGTGAAGGGAGGGGTCAGGCAGCTGGCTGCTGGAGAAGGGGCTGGCTGCAAGTCAGTCACCTACATTTCTGCCATCTTCGCCTGGGTCTCCCTGGTCACCCTTCTCCCCGGGGAGGCCACGGTTTCCTGGTAGGCCCTGGTGGAGAAACAGCAGGTGAGGCAGCCGGTCCACAGCACTATGGTGTCCCCTGTGCTGGTGTGAGCAGAGGCGGGAGCCCAGACCCAAGGAAGAGGGCTGGGGAGGAGCTGGAGCACACAGCTCTGAGTGGTTATAGAGCAGAGGCCAGGCCGAGGCCCCTTAGACACGCAGTGATGGTGCTGTGCAGTTACAACAGCTGGAATTCAGCCCGGGACAGGGGCAAGGGACAGTCGCCCTTCAAATCCCACAGTAACATCCTTCCCCCCAGACTCTGCCTTCTGGGGATCGCCCCAATTGGTCTGTCTCCTGCTCTCACCCCAGGCAGCACACAAGGCTCAGCTGGGCCCATTCTACAGCTCCCCCACACATGAGCTCAGGGGAGCACAACAGCACAGAGTCCTATAGAGGGGCAACACTTTGTCCCATCCCCACGTCCCTACTCGATCACAGCAAACCCGGCTGCCTGTGCATTCCATATGCAGCCTGTCCTGTGATCTCCCCCACGCCCTGCCATCCCACCGGATACAGCCCTCCCACCCCCTCACTTACCCGGGGGCCCCTGTCTCCAGGTTTGCCAGGCTGCCCCGACTCTCCCTGAGGAGGAAAGAGGGAAGTAAAGGCATGTCTACACTGCAGGGCAAAAATCAAATTAAGATACGTAACTTCAGCTATGTTGACTGAGTAGCAGAAGTTGAAATAGCTTAATTGGGCTTTTGGCGCTGTCTACACAGCAGGAAGGCAAAGGAAGAACACTCCTCCTTCGACTTCCCTCACTCCTCATGAAATGGGGGTTACAGGAGTCAGAGTAAGAAGTCTTCCATCTCAAAATAATTTCAAATTAACAGCTTGCTGTGTAGACGCACACATCATCAGTTATTTCGAAATAATGCTGCAGGGTAGACGTGCCCTAAGAGAATAGCAGGAGATGCCAAGTGTGGCCATGTAAAGCTACGGCCTTTTTCTGTCACCATATTGCAAGACCTGTAACCATATTGTAAGGCCTAAAGCCCAAGGCCGTTGGCTGCATCCACATTGAAAGAGCAACAGCCATTAGCTGAGAAGTAGAGAGCCACGCCCTCACATTCTGTCTAAAGTACACGGAAATAGTGTAATGTCAGGCTGTTAAGGAGACGCACTCCTAAGGGCACTAAATATCACCAGATAAAGAAATAGCTCTTCAAGATGGTTAAAGACAGTTTGACAGCATTCTGTCTGGCAAGAAACTACTCATCAGTGGTTGCCATTGTGAAATCCTCATGTCTTTATTGTTCTGTTATCATGGTCCCCACTTCCCTTTTGTTTGTCTGGCTCTTTAATTGCTACTGGCTGCTGTATAATTAATTTTGCTAGGTGTAAATCAATTACAGTGGTGAGATATAATTGGTTAGAGAATTACGTTACAATATGCTTAGGATTGGTGAGTCAAATTTTAGTAGAATAATTGGTTAAGACATAGCTAAACAGGACTCGAGTTTCACTGTGCAAAGGAAGTTCTTTGGTAACCAGCTCCAGGACACAGCTCCAAGATCCAAGCTGTCAGACCTCAACCCTGCGCCAATCACACTGTGCAAAAACCGGAGCCCCCCAGATGGACCTGGTCTGACCGTCAAGGAAAGTTCAACTGTCTTATTGGGGGGGGGTGAGCATTGCATGTGTAGCGCATGCATTCTGGGCTTGGGGATTGTTAATAAAGAGAGGTTAAATAGGATATTACGGTGTAAAGCTCTTTCACTGGTAAAAGACCCTGCACACCTGTGGAGTGAAAAAGTTACGCCTGAGCCCTAGGAACGGCTCAGAGAACCCTAGAGTCTGTAAAGTGACAGAGAACTGTGGAGTGAAAAAGTTACGCCCGAGGCCTAGGAACGGCTCAGAGAACCCTAGAGTCTGTAAAGTGACAGAGAATTTTGCAAAGGGAACAGCCAAGCCAGGGAGGAGAACTGCTACAACGTAACAGACAATCACTTACCGGGGCTCCCTCGTCCCCTTTCTCACCACGTTCACCCTGCAGCACACATGAGCCAGGCACAGAGGAGAAAAGAGTCACCAGTTACCTTCTCTGACCAACAAAACCCAGACACAGCCGCTCAGTGCAAACTCAGCACCCTAAATACCTCCACTCCACTCAGCCCCCAACCCCTGCCTGAACACACTTCCTGTCTACCCAGCCCCCATCACCTCCTTGAACACACCTCCAGTCTACCCAGCCCTTGCCACCCTCCTGAACACACCTCCGCTCAGTACACCCCCTAGGAACACACCTTCATTGCACACAGCCCCCTCAAGTACCTCTTGGACCCCCTATCAAAAATTGCCTGTTGATGTTGTCATGACAATCTGGCACAGGGTCTCCATGAAAACCCCACAGTGTTGTAAAATCACCGTGGCCAGAAACAGGCTCTCCACCAGCAGGAACTGTCTAAGGCCACAGCCAGAACTGTAGGCCCAAGAGCGCTGCCTGCCTGCCCATGAGCACCCTGCCAAGCACCCAGGGCACTGCAACGTTACCTCCTTCCCTCGCAGGCCCATCTGCCCTGGAGCTCCGGGTCTCCCCAGCTCCCCCTTCTCACCAGGCTCCCCTGGGTCACCCTAGGCAAGAGAAAAAGCACAGCAGGGAGAGGAGAGGGTGAGTCAGTGAACAGCCAGCTGGTTACAACCCAGCCCCTGTAGAACAAGAGCAGCACCCCCAATCCACCCCCCCAGAAACCAGTGAGTCCCCCCCACCCTGCCACATAAACAGCAAATGCCAAGGGGGGCCTCTCCTCCCCCTCACACAACACAGCACCCACAGGTGCAGGGCAGGAGGCCCCCCCACAACAAAGCACCCATGCAAATGGCGCAATAAGAAAAGGGACCCCTCTCCACACATATTGAGGAGCCCAGAGCACACATACAACACGGCCCCCAGGGCAGCCAGGCAGGGGAGCCCCTCCCTACACCCCTCTTCACCCCAAAGAGCCATTACCTTGGGGCCACTCTTGCCCGCGAGGCCAACAATCCCCTGGTTGTCCAGAAAGAGAGAGGTTGTTATTGGTGAGCTGGTTCCCTGCAGAGTCTGTGCTACCCCCACTGGACATGGTCTCAGGGGAGGCTGCGGGACATGGAGCAGCCTTGGGGACTGCTCGTGGGCTGAAGCAGCTCCAGGACCCCTCCAGGAAGATGCTGGATGGGGCCCTTTCTTGCACAGGTGTGAACTCCTCCACCCCGAGAATAGGTGAGTTCCCCCATTGCCCCGTGCAGAGATGGGCTCACATATGCCACTTTCATATTTACCCTTCCCCCCCCACTCTGAGGGAGAGAGGGGCACAGCCCCGGGCTGATCGGTGCCACCCCCGTAAACCTGGCCCAAAGGGCAGAACTGAGCAATCCCCAGGCAGAGATGAGTGGGAGCCCAGCCCCATGGCCCTGAAGACACCTGGGCTAGACGCTGGGCACAGCCAGCTGGGGGATGCAGCCACAAGGTAGGCAGGCAAGACTCACCCTCTCGCCCTGCTCTCCTTTGGGGCCGGGGGGGCCAGGGACACTCAATCCAGGGGCACCCTGTGACAAAAAGAAAAGCAGGTCAGAGTGAGGAGGGCAGGACAAGCCCTTTCCAGGCTGCCCCCGGCCATGCTGTGGTTCTCGCTGCCTGCCCCAGCACAGTTACACCGGGACGGGGAGGAGGGTGGCTCTGGCCTGCATGGGGAGAGACAGATTCCATCTCCCAGCGCAGGGAGCCACACGGGTGCATCGGGAGGAGGGAGCCCCAAGCACAGGCCCAGCTTTCAGAGTCACTCCTGAAGAGCCCCCACGCCATGGTGCACTGAGGGGCTGGCTCACCCAGAGCAGCCGTTGAGCTGGAGACTGTCCAGGATCTCACAGCTCCGGAGGCAGAGACCCTCTCTCCTACCCAGCTACAAGAGCCTTGTCCCAGAGCAACTGACCCTCTCCAGTGCCAAGAGCTGCTCTGGTCTCCGCTCCCAGCAGCGTCCCTACCCCCCGAGCAGGCTACGAGGTGGCCCTGAGTCCTGGCCTCAGAGGGGACAGGAGATGGCTTTACAACTGGGTCCCTGCTGAGCTCCCTGCCTGTCAGAGCTCCTGGCTGCACCGGGACCCAGCGCGATGCCTCCAATGGCCCGAATCATACTCACGCGGTCTCCTTTATTTCCCGCCTCTCCCCTGGGACCGGGGGCCCCCTCTGCTCCTGCTGGGCCTCTGTCACCCTGAATGAAAGAAACACCATTAGCCAGGCAGAGCGGATTCCCTCGGGATCCCAACTCGGGCCTTTCCCCTCGTGGGCGAGACAGAGCTGCTCCCTTGCTTCCCAGGGATGGGGATGGGATGACGCTGAAAGGAGCCAGTTGGACGGGCCAGTGACATGGAGCCAGGAGCGGTGGGGTTGGAAGGAACGTGCCTGGGGCGCTGACAGAGCCAAGTTCCCACGCTGCTCCCAGCAAAGCCAAAGGCCCCTGCTCCCACGTGTGGGGGCTCCGGCCTGTTTGGTCCTGGATTTTGTGACAAGAAATAGATTTCCAGCCCTCCCAGGCACAAAGAGCCTCCCAGTCCTGAGTGGCACTGATCACTGCATGGGTCTGCAGTGAGCCTGCCCCCGAGGGGTGGGCTCCCCTGCCCATCCCACTGCAGCAGCAAGTCATGTGAGCACCAACTTCAACTCTTTCATGGCTGCTCGTTTTAGCAGACAAAAGGGGACGGGAGTGGGAATGAGGCCCTGAGGCCTGGGAGTTGCCGCAGAGAAGGCAAGGCAAGGCAGGGGGAACACGGGAGACACTGAACGGAGAGAGAGATGGAAGAGAACACAGGGTCTAAGGGAGGCGTGTTCTCTCCCCAGCTATCAGACAGATCAGATAATGGACTAAGGATGTTAAATTGTGGCTATTTATATTAACTGCATGATTAGTCAATAAGGGCCGCTCTGCAGAGCCGCAGCAAGGTTAGCAGTCCTGGCTCGCGCTGGCTCCCAGTCCCATTTAAAATGCAGAGGCACAGCATCCCGGACCAGCGCGAGCCGGGACTCCTCGGTCCTGGCTTATGCCAAGTGCAGCAAGCCCTGTTCATGGCGGCTATAGCCTGGGGCTGCTGCGGGACCAGCCCCTGCATGTAGCCAGCCCCAGCCACCATGAATAGGGGCTGCTCGGCAGCAGCAGCCCCTGCCCGCAGGGGGGTCCAGTTCCCCCTGGGACTCCCGCAGACAGGGGCTGCTGCTGGAGTAGCCTCCCTTATCACCCTCTTCTCATCCAGAGGCAGCAGTGGGTGTGTGTGTGGAAAGCGCGTAGTTGACTACTCGCTAACATCCCTATGGCGGGCTGCCTTAAGCTCTCCCCTCAACCTGTGGGCATCCCCTGTGTGTTGAGGGCATGCACCATCCTAATCAGAAACCCTGGCCCATGGAGCAGAATCAACATGCAGCTGTTCCCTCTGTGGTGGCCCGTCGGGCACCCCCCAATCCTGCACCCCGTCTGCAGCAACATGAGACTCCGCCAACCAGTAGTATAGAAAGGGTTTATTGCTCCTCCAGGATACAGCACAGCACAGACGTGATGTGGTTTCAGGAGTCAAGGCCAGGATGCCTCAGACCCCTTGGATTAGGGGGTCCATTGTCATCACTAGACCCTCAGCTAAGGCTGCTTCCTTCATGTTTCCCAGCCAGCAACTGCCCCTTCCCCCCGAAACCTGGTGTCGGTCTCAGCCTCTCTCCCTTTGTCTCTCCCTCTGGGAATCCCCTGTTATCTCCTCAGGCTGAGCCTAGGTGTCTGGGTTAATACACATTTGGGTGAGTCAGTGGGAATCACACATCACAGCGCAAGGGGACCCCCCAGGTTACAGAGCAGCCACATCCTTCCTCCAAGATCTCTTGCCAGCCCTACCTACTTCCTGGGTCACATCAGCCACCGTCACACCACAGGCCCATGCCCCGTGGCTGCCCTCTGCCCTAACACACAGGGCCACTGGTCAGGTGCATCTTGCAAACTATAGGTGTGCAAAAGTAGCCAGGCCCCGCACATGCCACCACCCCTAGCTGGGCACAGGGCCATTTTCAGTTACCTTCTCTCCTTTGACTCCAGAGACACTGGAAGCCTGGAGGAGAAACACAAGGAGAGAAACCAGTGAAACCTGTGCACCGCTCCCCACAGGCTAGGTCACCCGGAGAGAGCCCTGCCTTCTTCCATGGGAACTGCTACTTCTTGCAGCCACCCAGGGAGCACGTCCCCTTGGCCCCCAGTATCCCCAGACAGCCTTCGGCCCATCACTGGCAGAGGGCAGCACTGAAGGCTGATGGCAACAGAACCCCAATGGTTGGGGAGGGTGCGGGAGGATCCTACTCCCTGCAGTGACTTATCTCTGCACCAATCTTCCTGCCAGCACCAAAGCTGGGGCTCTTTCCTGCCCCTTGGAGAGTCAGTTCCCACCCTGGGTGCTAGGAGCCCCATAACACCCTGGCCCTAGGGAATGCAGTTCCTGCCTGGCAGACAGGAGGCCACTTACCGACTTTCCAGGTTCCCCAGGAGCACCTTGATCCCCCTGTGGGAGAGAACAACAAAGGCCAGGGGTCAGCCACCCCACCCAGGGGGCACAGCCTTCTCCAGAGCCCTGGGAGCGTGGGAAAGGCATCAGGGAGCCCCACGTGCTGAGGGTTTCTCAGGACGAGGCGGCCCTCAAAGGAAATCAAGC